AAGACGAAGCCCCCCAGAGCCATTGCGAGGCTTTACTAGTACTTAGGTTTCAAGGAGGTTTGTTGGGAAAGCACGGGTGTAGGGGTTTACGAGCGGAGTTTAACACCCTGTTAGGGGGTAGGGTAGGGGGTTGGGGTAGCGTCAGAAGCCCTTCTTTGGACGACAGCGGCAGCTCCTTCCAAGCGCCAGGTGGCAGGAAGGCCACACGGCCCACGCCACCTACGAGGAGGCCCCTTCTGCTCACAGCCAAAAAAAAAAGAGCCAGAAACCCGACAAAAAGCCTCACAAGGTTGGCTTCCATGCGTTCTCCTGCGCCTCCTCTGCCTCCTCCTGCCTCCTGCGTCCTGCGTCCTGCCTCCGCCTCTTGCCTCTTGCCTCTTGCCCACACACCAAAAGGCCAAATACGTCGGAAAGCTTCAATACACCATCCGACAAATCAACACCAACATGATGAAAACTCACACAAGACAAAGCAACAGGTCCAGGGCGACAGTTCCAAAACACCTGTTTCCTTTTTTGGTCGCTGTGTGTGCCCTTTCTGAGTCTTCATTTTAGTCGCTGTTTGGCTTCAGACATCCGGAAACCTTGAAGGTTCCCTTTTAAGTGTCGTCAGATCCGCGAAGCCCGGAATCCCTATGAAGCTTTGACAAAGAGGCTTCGAGCAGGGGTGCCATCCATCCAACACCAGATTGATCTCAGGGTTTTGGGGCTTTGGGGTGTTCGATGGTGTTCGGTGGAACTGCAATTCGAAAGCCTGGACCCCACAGCCACAACCCTAAAGCCCAACATCCTCCGTCTTTCTCCGTTGGTCCAATCTCTCCAGATCCCCTTCGCCCCGATCTTCAGGCCGACGCCCAGGCGAAGGAGGTGCTGGATGTGTATCTTCAGTTGGCGCAGGCTCAGGGCTTTCAGCTTTCGGGGTTGAGGGTTTAGTTTAAGTTGGTTCAACGGGGGCGCAGCATGTTCACTTCAAAGGGTGGGGTGGGGGGGGGGGGGGTGCAAGGCTTAAATAGGGTTTATTTGGAAGCTGAGGGTCGTGTTTTGGTGTGGTGGATAGAAAGGAAATTGCATGAGAAAGTAGCGAGATGAGCTCTTCAATTTCCTTCCTGATCTCCTATGCTCTTTTCCTGATTCATTGCAACAGGAGAAGACAGGAAAAGAAGGGTTTCCGTTCCCCTCTTGTTCTTCCTTTCTTGTGTTTTTTTGTCACTTAAAGGGGAACAGGAGAAGAGAAGGAGGGAGAGATAAGAGGAATACAATTTTGATGGGAAGAGCCAAGAAAAGAATAGAAGAGAGATGAATATAAAGGAGAGGGAGAGACAAAACAAGGCGCAAAGAAGATGGCACTCTTCTTTATCTATCCTCTCTCCTTTATCTCTCCCTTCCCTCTGTCTTTTCGAAATAAGAAAACTAAAAAGGAAGAATTATGAAAAGGATAAGGGTAGGTCCACGCGCAAGGAGTCACCCTCTGCTTACCCTTCCACTACTTTATCATACAAGTTCCTTTCTTGTGTTCTCTCCGTTAAAGATTGAAAGGAAGCAGAAGGAGAGAAGGGAAAGGGAAATGAGAGAGGAGAGACAACAAGGAGGCCATTCTTGTTTTCTGGAAGGGCACTGAAAATAAGAGAAGAGACAGGAAACAAGGAGATGGAGAAACACAACAAGGCGCAAAGAAGATGGCGTTCTTCTTATCTATCATCTCTCCCTTCCTTGTCTCTCCCTTGTCCCTCTGCAATTAAAAAAGTCAAGGCTGTTCTTGCTTTTCGCAGACAGGTGACCTCTCTCCTCTTCAGGAAGCCCCCCTGCGCTTGTTTTGCTTGCTTTCTGAAACGACAAGGAAACAACACATAGAAAGAGAGGAAAGGGAATGAAACAACAGGCAGTGGAGCTCTTCAATGTCTTTCCCTATCTCTTTTCTTCTTTTCCTTCTTTTATTCAAACAGGAAAAGAAGAATCCTTTTGTGTGAGCTTTAAAGGAGAACAAGAGAAGAGAAGGGAGAGAGAAAGGAGAGAGGAGAGATCAAAAGGAATGCAATATTCATGGGAAGAGCAATGAAAAAGAATGGGAAATACATGAAGACAAGAGAGGGAGGTGCAAAAATAAGGCAAAGAGAAGATGGTGCTCGTTTTCATCTTTCCTCTCTTTCTTATCTTTCTCTTCTCTTGTTCTTTTCCCTTTGAAATTAAACACAACAGGAAGAACAATGAACATGTACAGGAACCCGTTTTCGTTTTCCGTTTGGGAACAAGGAAAAGAACAGAGGCGATAGGGCGAGAGGAGGGATTTGCTGAAGCATGGGGAGGGTCTACGAGTCTACGGGCAAGGAGCCAACCCCGCTCACTTTCCCCATCCATTGAAACAGGAGAAGAAAGAAACAGGACCTCCAATTCCTCCTTTCTTGCGTGTTTGTCGTTTGGAGGGGAACAAGAGAAGAGGAGGGAGAGAGAAGGAGAGAGGAGAGACAAAGAGATATGAGTAGAGAAGAGGGAGAGACAAAAC